CCGCATTTAACGATCCGTTTGTCTTCCGCGGCCGTCAGCTGTCTTTTTCTGCAGGCCGAGACCGGTCTCAGCCCAACCAGCCTTCGAAGTCGGTGCATGACAGGCCGTATTATGGCCACCGTCGAGTGGAGTCCCGAGAGGAGTCCTGCTCCAGATGGATCTCAGAGAAAAGTCCTGCTCCAGTGGGATCTCAGAGAGGAGTCCTGCTCCAGTGGGATCTAAGAGAGCAGTCCTGCTCCAGTGGGATCTCAAAGAGGAGTCCTGCTCCAGTGGGGTCCCAGAGAGGGGTCCTGCTTCAGTGGGATCTCAAAGAGGAGTCCTGCTCCAGTGGGGTCTCAGAGAGGGGTCCTGCCTTAGCCACTCCGACCATTTTAATCAAGCGTGCTTATAGGGATTGGGCCAACAACACCTAAGCCAAAGACCGATTCCAACTGAACGGGTTTTTAAAAAACACGAAGAAATCATGACCATCAAACGGGCCATGAAAACTACAGCAAATAGAGAGAACGAAAATGCTACCCTTTTCCCGACTGACCGCTCAACAAACTGAAGGCCACCACCATACAACGTGCTGAAACCGTGCAGAGTTCGTTACCATAGAGCAAAAACCGATGTGAAAAGCACAAGTTAGCTTGACACCGTACGATCGTGTAGGGACATGGGACCCACACTCAAGCCCCATAGGTACTGCTAGATGACAAGTTGGATGGGCGATCACTAGTTGACTCAATCAACTCCTCCTGCCAGCTTGTAATCCGTGTAATGTGGAGCGGGTTCAGAATTTCGCCCTGCCGATTGAAAAACCAGACGACATTTCCTGATAGAAAACAGTTGGAGGTTTATCAAGAACAACGCGGGTCATTATTTCCAGGGCGAACGTCATAAACATCGCAGCTGTGACTTCGACGAGTTATGAACGTAGATCAAAAGTAACGGTATAATCTTTCAAATTCAATGGGACGGAAATTGCCCCTTGGGGACGGCGGTCTCCACTCCGACCGTTTGAGACATATAACAAAAATATTAATGGAGCTACAAATCTGATAACGGCTAACCTTGGCACGGTTGAATTTTCTTCAACCATGGACCCCCTCTACCATTTATGTGTGGCGAGGCATGGCATGGAGTTGCCCATGCCTACACGTATTAAATGAGCTGAGCTGAGCTGTCAAATCGCATAGCGAATGTGACATGACCACCGAAAAGCTCACATAACGCAAACCCAGCAAATGTCCTCATCTCACGTCCTCGTGTGCTCATGTGCTCATGTGCTGATGTGCTGATGTTCTCATGTTCTCATGTTCTCATGTTCTCATGTCCTAATGCCCTGGTGGCCTGTACTCAAAACGGTTGAATAAGACACAGCTCTGACATTCAACACAGACTCATAATCCATCCGCGCACGTCACATCTGCAGGAAACTCCCCAGCCGCTTGCTGGCGTCAAAGCTCTATTGCAAAGGCCCCCAGCGTATCAGCGCGGCAAGACGGCACGGACCACGCCCGGCGCGCGCGCGTTTGTGCAGCGCCGGCGCCGACAGGGCTGGTCCGTGCGGAGGCGCGTGCCACGCCCGGCACGTGTCCGTGGGCGGGCGGGCAGCGCCGACGCCGGCAGGGCTGGTCCGTGCGGAGGCGCGTGCCAAGGATTCCACGCGGCGAAGTGTTCTGGAGATGTCCGCGTTAATGCGGTTTGAGAACGACGTCCGGGAAACTGCGCCGCTAACAGAGATTACGCTCTCGGAAATGATGCCAAATGCAATTAAGTGTCCACTTTTAAGGCCATCAAAACGTCGAAAGGTGGGCATACGAGGAAGGGAACTGTTCAGATGCGCTTCTCGAGCACTCAGAGGTGTTTTGACCTTTAATCGTTACATGAACCCCAATACGTTGTCATTTGCTTTTCGCGTTTGGTTTTCATATTGGGTGACGATCAAACGCCGTCTCAATCCATACCAACCAGACCGACAATCTAAAGCAGGAAACGGAAAGACATGTACAATGGTACATCATGTTAAATACATAAAAATCAACAAAACATCTAAAGCAGAAAACAGAAAGACAAGTACAATGGTACGCAAGCCTGTCTCACCTATATGGATGCATTACGTAACAGAGTTTGACACAGACAAAATCATATTAAGTACATAAAAGTCAACGACAAAAAACAATTATGAGTCAATATCAGCCGTGACCCCCTGGCCGCCAAGTTTATTAACTTTGGGCTCACGGCTCAGCTGAAGTAACAGGCGGAAAAAGTGATGCTGATAAAATGCATGACGAAAATTGGCTTTCAGAAGTGGTTTTCCATCCCCCATTCCAGGGGATTCCTCACCGCTGGTCTGCATGCCAAAATACCACGCGGATTGGCGCATTTGACAAGGTTCAACGCGCTTCATAACAGCTCCTGCCACCTAGCGGATATATGTTAACTATAGCTGACACAGACGTCTCTGCAGTCGCCTTTCGCTCCATAGCGCTTAAGACCATAACTGTTAGTTTACAAACCTGATACTAGGTGGCAGTCTACCACCATTACCATAGAGGTACTGCATGGGGGGGGGGGGGGGGGGTACCGTGGAGCTCGTCTGAATGCGCCTATCAAAAAAAGCTCTGATGCCGGAATAACACCGCGTGCTTGGTCAGCACATACTAGCAGCCGACGATCTGACGAAGAAGATTTTCTTCTGGCTTCCCCACCGCGTCATTTCGGCGGCGTGGTAGCTCACATTATGCGACTTCACAGAGACCGATAGCGAATCGGGGCGATGTCGAACAAGACCAGCAAAATTTGCAAACGAAGCAGCGATAGCAATGTAGCCGTTTATGCCTTGTTCGCCGCACTAACACTACACAATTTAATGCGCTTCTGTTATGAACACTGGACACATTGTGTACTTATTTGGAGCGCTAAATGCTTCACAATGTCTTGGTTTGTTATCGTTTTAACACAAGAATCACAGAGACCAACGAGAGATATCACCACACTGCTCCCAAAGTGACTTCTGCGTGAATGTCTAGTGTTCACACCACGGCCGCTAACATTAGCCAGTCCGGCGCTATATTTCAAGCATCAGATTCATCGGGCTCAGCAGGCCAAAGTGGTAAGTTTTGCTCGATGCTAGTCGCGAACGATACTTTTAGTTAACACTGTTTTGTTTCTGGGAGGTCGGCCAGCTCAGCCATGTCGTGGCCGGCCATAGCATCGCAGGCTGTTGTAAATTTTTTTCTGTCTCTGGACGCAGGGGTTGTCGGTGTTGTTTACGCTCCTTCACTACAAATATGACTTTTTCTTGACTTTTTACATGGTAGCAATGACCACGAAGTTTACAAACTGCTGAAAATGTTCCTTGCTAGTTCAAATTGTTCCAGGACAATCCAACAATTTTCCTAATTCCACGGGACCTAGCATCATGTCTTGTGCAAAATGTTTGGGTCCCCCGCGAGTTCTTTGAAACCGAAAATATCACGATGGTAAAACTTGGACCACGAATACACATACATTGTAAGTGCAATCGCTTCCGGAACACTTAAAATGGCTCGAGTCATCCCACCCAAAGCCTTCGTAAACACGGTCGTTAAGCACGGTTGTAACACGGTCGTTGAATATCCCCGCGATCACAAAGTCATATCCTGTGCATCCACAAATGATTTCCCATTGATCACGGACGCTTCAAAGCGCGGAGTACCTCACATAGCAGTTAATGACGCGCACCGCGCCTGTGCCAGCGCCACCGCGTGCAATGCCAGTCCAGGCTGGACATGACACCCCTGGTCACCCCACCGGGTCACGTCAGTGACGCTCCATGCCGCGCCCCGACACGTGACCCACATCGGGGGCAGGAGGCGGGGAAGGGGGGACTTCCGGCGGAAGCGGTCGACTCCGCCCGGCGTCAGCTGACTACAATAACACGTGACCTGACAATAGCGAGCTCGGGTCGTATGGGACAGGACCAAGCGATGCCGGATATGGTGCGATCTCACATGATACCACCTGATACCACATGATGGCACGTGACAGGTGACAAAATGATACGTGAATCCGCTTGAATGCAGGTAACCATCCACGTGCGGAATTTAACGCTTTCAAAGACTGACAAATATTATTGGATAATGTAGTCGATGGTGTAACACTAGTTTCATGCCACGACCTCAGCTCGATTTCATGTCGAAGTGAAGTGAAATGCTTGACGCATCGATTTCATGCTGTTGTAAACGCCATTACGTAATGCTACAGGACGTTACGGCGCGTGAGTCGTCCCACTTAGCCATATCCTGGGATGCTCAGACAGACACGACGCCACCCAAAATGTCGGTGCGTGGCCCAGACTAATCCGACGCGAACCAGACCAGCCTGGAATGACCCAGCCTAACCCTGCGTGATCCGGACAGAGCTCATGCGACTCGTCTTCACCCTGCGTGTCACGAATGACCTCACGTGACTCAAGCTGACTTCGAATTTCACATAATGACCTTGTGTGCTCAGCACTGACCTTTTGCTATTGTGTGCCTTGTACTGACTTCGTGTGCCTCCGACCGACTTTGCGTAACCAAGGCCGACTTTGAGTGATCCAGGCTGACCTGGTCGTCAGAACTGGTCCAGTGTGACCTTGAATGACTCACCATACCAGCCATACGTCAACCGCAAGGATGCTGTCACTTGGGATGATTTCACAGCACCCTGGATTTCGGAGTCATTCGCGGTACCCCTCGCAGAACAGTAGCGCCGGTGCAACCCTCCGCTTAGCACCAAATGTGTCACCCAGACCTAGATACACCGCCGGTCTGAGCTGCTGTCAGTCCGGTTGACATTATGCTGGGTTGACCCCGTGCCCCCCCCCCCCCCCCCCACTCGACGGACCCTCTGCCTCTAGGCTTGACCTTGTGTCCCCCTGACTGACCATGTGCCCCCCCCCCCCCAAACAGATCGTGTCACTTAGACTAATTCTGTGCTCCTCAGAGTGAGCGCGTACCCCTGGACTGACCCGGTAACCTCTGACTGACCTTGCCCTCGCCGCAGAAGGAGCCGCCGCCGCTGTGTACGCCATCCCCGCACGAGCTGCCCTCCGAGTCCCCATTAATGTAGCCCGAGTCATTGGCCGCTGGTGGGCCCTTCTCGCGCGCGTACAGCGTCGCCTGCCGCGCGTCCGTGCGCCCCTCCAGGCCGCACGTGCCGCAGCCGCCGCGCACGTCCACGTCCGCGTCCACGGCCAGGCGCGACACGCCGCCGCGCAGCACGTCAACGCTGCTGCTGGCGTGGTGGCACTGCGCACGGCTCTGCTGGCTGCGGCGGTCTACCACGCGGCCCTGCTGGTGCACCAGCATAGTGTCGCGCGTCGTCACGCTCGTGTTCACGTCCAGCGCCGTCTCGACGGTGGCGCCGCGGAACGCCGCCGCGCGGAAGTTCAGGATACCATTGCGCACGAGGAGTTGGCTCAGCACGCCCGGGTTGGGCACGGTGCCGGTGGTGAGCGCGTGGCGGATGGCGGCGCCCTCGTCGCCGATCAGCTTGACCTGCACGCCGTTGATGAAGATGACCTCCTCCTCGCGCACGACGGTGCTGGTCTGAACGTCCACGACCTGCGCGCGCCCGGCGCCGAAGATGCCGTCCACGGCGGCCTGCGCGTCCGTCGAGTCCATCCTGCCGGTGGAGGGGAGAACCCAATGAGCTCAGGCGATGCTATCAGCCGCGCAGGGGGAAGAACCAGATGCGATGGCGACAAGTAGCGATGTAATACCCGAAAAGAAAGAAGAGAGAAGGAAAGAAAAGAAAGAACAGGCTGCACGTCCGCATCGCTTAAAAATTCAACAAGCATTGCATATTCCGATGCATGAACCACACAGAATGTAGAAACGAACACTGCACAACACAATCGAACAACACAAAGGTGGCTTCTACCACTCCCAGATAGGAGTAGGGGAATCGGACGCAGGCAGGTTCACAACGGATAGGAGGAAGAGCATGCGACCTGGGTGAATATTACGAGAGCAGCACCACAGGTCCGTCCGCGCGTAAACAAAGACACGCGATACCTCCGTAATAGAGCGCCGACGCCACTTTTTGTGGAGGTCTTCCATCATTTGAGTCGTAAAATACACCCCAACTGACACCGTCTGCTATGCAACTGTTCTTCCCACCAAACCACCCCATAGATCACTTCTCAGCAGCGTGTGCAATATTTGTGGCACGTAATGCTAGCGGTATCCAGCGCAATTGATGACCAGGTCGGCAAGATATGAAGCATTCAACGACTCGCACTGCTGGCGAGCTGGGCCAGGTCGAAATGGCAGCCAGCTTACAGCGGGCGGGTAAGGAGACTCGCCGATCAGGAGGGATCTCAGCGTGGGTTACGCGGAAAGCGAGGGCTGATTAGGAAGGAAGAGCCGATTGGGAAGAGCTGCTGGAAAGAGCTCAAATTGAAAAGACTTTCGCTTAGGTCGGTGAGGACCAAGTACAAGACAAGTGGGATTAAATGCTAGGTGACGTGGCGGTCGAGTATGCACTACGCGATACTCGAGTGTAACTCGGAGGGCGCTCGAGCATTGGTCGAGCCTTGGTCGACCATTGGTCGAGCTCGCCCTTGCCTCTTCTCCATCCGGCTACATTTGGCGCTTTGGTCTGGGCTCTGGCTTTGGTCGCGGCCCGTCCCGCATCTCTTCACTCGAGCAAACAGCCACACTCAAAACAGGTGAGACTGCCAACACCGAGTCAACACTCCCGGTAGTCAACACTCGAAATCCGATGTCAACACTCCCGGTGACCCAACTACGTCATCGTGCCGCCTCGAGTGTCATCGTCTGAGGGGCGATCGTGTGACTAGTAAGAGGAGACCGATAACGGGCATATCCAATGACCTTGACTCGATACTGATGACGTCACTCGGGTACTTTTCTAACAGCGCCCAAGACATGCCCCACTAATGTCGTTGTTGAGCATGTTGAGCATGGACATGCTGTTGTTGTTGAACATGTCTCTATGTTACAACATGCCAGAACATGACGCCATGACGCCATGAGCCGTCGGCACCGATCAAGGATACCATTAGGGGCGGTATCCAACCCCGCACCACCATCTCGAAGTGCATCGTGTGATAAAACCACGCGATAGCGTGATAACAGCGTGACATAAACAGCGTGATAAAGCCAACGTTTGCAAACTCGATATTATCTTACCACCCGCACTTTCACCCGCAATACCCCCTCCCCCCCAATGCTCGGACACTTCGCTGGCCCGGTCACCGAAAGATGGCAGCACCTGTTTGTACACAGCGTTCGCAACCTGCGTCACAGTCCGCCTGATTGGCATCTACGCTGATCGACGGAGCAAACGTAGTCCGCTTTAAGGTGACGGAAAACATGCGCGAACTGCTCATGGCATCGATAGTCAGTGGAAACATCTTCCGTGATCGTGATTCCATGATCACCAAAGTTCCTCAGCAGCAACAGCAACCACGCTGCCCTTTGCACAAATGCGTTGGTGATCCACGCCGTTTTAACTGTGTGTATTTGCACGTGGGTATTTATTTTTCAACTTATGGACCGCATTCGTAACTGGGTACCCATTAAACCTGCGGCTTTCCTGTACGGCATAAATAAGTAACAAAATAACCTGAGCGTTGCAACATCCACGTTGGACATGGCAGCGTACAGGGCAGAACTCCCGGCGGCGGCGTGGCGGTGCCAATGATTAAGAAGGCCGCCGACGGCGGCGCGTGTCCCACAGGCGGCACCACACGTCGAACTGTCGGCTTCAGGGCGCCGCCAATGCGTCAGCGTGAGCATGACGGATGCGGTCCGTCACGACAATGAGCCCAGATGTGACAGGTGACGCGTGACAGGTGACAGGAGCGCGAGCAAACAAATACCTCCCGTCCGCAGCGACGCGCCGTCATGTATCAACGCGCGCTGCGCTCTCATTCATGCTCTCATATCATACTGAAGACCTATCGCCACACGCTGCCGCAGCGGCCAGCACATACCGCATACCTATACCACATACCTATACCACATATCTATACCACATACCACGTACCTATACCACATGCCACATACCTATAACACAGACCTATGCCACATACCTATACCACATACCACATACGTATACCACATAACACATACCTATACCACATATCCCATATTTATACCACATACCACATACCTATACCACATACCACATACCTATACCACATACCTATACCACATGTCACATACCTATACCACATATCACATACCCATATCACATACCACATACCTATGCCACATTCCACATACCACATACCTATAAGACATCCTACAACACAACCACCACAGCGGTGACGTCTAAGCGACCCCAAAAGCTCCGTGACCTCACGTAACGCCCACGCGCCACTCCGCTGTTTTTTACCTGGGCCTTTTCCGCCCAACCGCTCGGCGCGCATCTGTCCTCCTCGCTAGTCCCGTGGGGCCTCTGTCCACAGGCGCCTCCTCCACCTACTCGCATCGACCCAGCCCTCCCCCATTAGACACTCCGCAGGGAGCTGCGGACCCTCCCAGCCGACGTCTGGCCACCGGTGCCGCCGCCCGAGGTAATTGGCCTAGCAGCCACTCCGAGCCGCAGCGGGAGTGATTGGTACGACGGCCACCAATTGGCCACACAAGCCGCGGCGGGTGCTCCGTCTGACGTCACTGACGTCTGACGTCATTGTTTAGACTGGAGCGCGCCGGCAGGCAGGCCGCCGCCCGGCTGGTGCCCGCGATGCGTCATGATACATGCGCGATACATCGCCGCGATACATCATGATACATGATGCATCACAGCGTTCGCGTCGCGGAAGTGACCGCTTCGGGGACACTGTATCACGTGCAATGCGTCGGCGATGCCCGAAGGCCTATTCCCTGGGGACGAACATTTTTTTTCTTCCAAAATAGGCGATACGTGTGACATCTTGGTCCGTTTTCGGCACCGACCGTCCAATGGGCACACGGTCAAACCAATGAAAAGGTCACGCGTGGTCGGAACTGGTTGAGCTGGCTGGTCAAATGCGTGTATTTCGTGCAAAATATTACCCGGTAGCATCGGTGCTAAATCCATGGAATGTTTGCAACCACCGCGAGCATAAATACTAAATCATACTAAAACGACAGAGCCATGCCCATAGCCAGAGCACCGTAAACGACGCTAAAATGAGTCTAATAAAAAACATCAGTCCGTTCCTCCCGTAAACAATCCCTAAGAACCGGCATGCGGCTCACATGTGCGGCCAAGCCCTAAATCAACCCCGGATAAATACACACACACACAAGTGAAGAGGCCTACTGGGACCAGACGAGGTAATAAACGGCGCTGTCCGCGACAGCCGCGGTGGGTCCCCGGCTTCCATGCACGGCCAGCTAACCGGGTCAAGCTGTCATACCAGTACGCATCGGACCCTGAAGCCGGCTTCTGTCGGCCTCGCTGCTATGGAGAGCGAAGACTGTTTGAGTTTGGGTGGCACGCTTGCCGCCATCCGGGTCTGTAGAGGCCGGAGGCCGGTGTGCGCAGCGGGCGCCCAACGTGTTCGGGCGGTTGGTGGAACCGAAGGAGCATTGCAGGTCGGAAGGGAGTACCGAGGGAGTACCGACGGTCAGAAGGGAGCATCAAAGGAAGTAGCGAGGGTTAGAAGGGAGTACCGATGGAGCACTGAGGGTTAGAAGGGAGTACCGAGGGAGAACTGAGGATCAGAAGGGAGTACCAATGGAGCACCGGGGGTCAGAAGGGTGCACCGAGGGACTACCGAGGGTCAGAAGGGTGTACCGAAGGAGTGCCAAAGATCAGAAGGGGGTACCGAGAAAGCGCCGATGGTCAGAAGAGAGAACTGAGGGAGAACCAACTGTGAGCCTAATCCAGAAGGAATCACGCTGATCACCAGAAATGTCAGCAGTCTTCAGCGTCAAGAACGTGAAGAGACCATATACACAAAAATGTGCCAGTGGAGGTTTGGAAAATGTGCTCGGGGAGTCAAAGACCACTTCGCCCTTCATACCGCTTTGTCCTTGTACTTCGCGCTTTTCTCGTTACCTGGGTCTCACATTGGAGGGGAGGATGTAACTAAAAATCGGGTCCGAGACACGCTGATCAATGCAAACCTCCGCCAAGGTAGAAGGGTGAAGTCTGGAAAGATCGGCCCCCGGACCTTGCATGTTCGCCAAGTTACCGAGAATAAACTAGACTAAGCTGCTGCCCTCTAAATTCAACTTAACGAATTCCAAACCCTCGATACTCCCTCGGTACACCCTTCTTACCCCCGGTGCTTTCTCGGTACTCCTCATCCTCGGTTGACTCAAGCCTGACGCGATGCTGGCACAGCCACAGTGGCAGCTCATCGCTGCAACACATATAATTAGCTGCTGGCTGGCGACCCGTGAGTCCATCGCCGTAACGTCCATTTTTGACATTGCGTAACGGTGGGTGGACTCCACACGATGCAGCTGGCTCGCCAGCATCTGACAAATCATCACCACTGACAAGTTCGCCGCCATCTGCCCGTCATAAATTTCCAGACTGGAATAGCGCGGTGCGCAACCGCTCCAGCCGGTTCTTCGCCGCGAAAACATCGCAAGTCGCGCTCCTAAAAACCAACAACAAAACACCGCCATGATGAACGGCCATACCCCTAAATCCCA